CCCCCCCCCCCCCCCCGGAGATTATACTGGAAATAAAAACCATCAGTATTTTCTACCTTTGCGAGAGTGATTCTTGCCCATCCCTTTTTATAGTGGAGAAATCACTTATGGAGCAACAACAATGTGAAAAATACCTGTAAACCATATTTTTCATGTGCACTGATTAAGAATATTCTCAGACTTTATACTGATTTCTGGAACTGTTACCTGATACAGTTTTTGTAGAAATTATTTCTACATACACACATAGCTATATACACACATACAGACATTAATTAGCTTTAAAATTACTCATGGTAATAATTTCTCATTGGGTCTTCTAACACCATTAAAAATTTACTCACTGATTAATTTACTTCAGTTTGGTTGGAGGTGACTTTAAAAGGCCCTTTTTTCTATTGAAGGGGTACAGAGTTCTTTGATGTCACTGAATTGACAGCTTTTCCCCACTCCTTTTTTACCTTTCCAGAGTGTGGAAAAATTACCCAAAAGCAGGGCACTGTCTGGGTCCCTTGTGCTCTCTTCTATATATTGGGAATTTCACTCTGGATTTTCTGAAGAGCATTTTAAATTAATGTTAAAACATCTGTTCAGTATTCTATGGCTAAAGGTGATTTATGTAAGTCACAGAAAAAATTAATTGATATGTCAAAGGGGAGAGAAGTAATGATATAATTTATCACTGAAGAGCAGTGTTGCTGGCTCTGTATCAGACTTGGGCTGGAGCAGTCAGGAAAGCATAATGGTACAAGAACAAACAGCGTCACACTTCCCTGAAAAGAGCTGAGCAACATGGAGATGGAAGGGAGGCATTTTGCAATGAGTGAAAGAGTTGATAGTAAGCAGAAAGGAGAAACCAAACAGACCTTCTGGGAAGCTGGACGTAGAGGGTGGCTTTCGAAGGACAGAGAAATAGGCAGCTGGAAAAAAGATGCATGGGAACAGTTAGTAATTTGTTTTCAATCTACTGCCAATTTACCTTCTCTTTTAGCTATGGGACTCCCTCCCAGCTGCAAAATCCTGTGAGACTTTAGCAATGCCATCGTTCTAAGTACCTGGCCCATAATTCTGTTTGGAAGGGGAAATTCACCTTTCAAGTAATATTGTTCTCCAGTGAGACTGTTTAAGAAGTAAAAAGCATAAGACCTGGCTATCAAATGTGCTTAAAGAGTAACAGAAAAATCACTCTGAAGCTTCTGAGACATTTAAACAACAGAGTTCCCTTATTCCGTTTGATTTTTAATGGTATTTAACTTTTTATCCCAGTAAGTACTAAACTGTATCTTGTGGCATGTATCTATCTTTAAGAACTTATCCTTCAGACTTTCTTTGAAAATAACCCAGATAATTTGGTTTTGTGTCATGCAATGTCTTGTCTGTACTTTGTAGCCATGAGCAGAGAAAGGTCTCTTGAAGTTGCTGCAAATAGTTCAGGTGCATTTAGTTTTTTGTTTTCATGGCTCACCTGTTCTTCCAAGACAAGTCAGAAGTATTTTGTTGATATTAGTTGATGCTTAAATGGTAGCTTTAAAATCTAGGACTTCTCATGAAGACATCATAACTATTCAACCAGCAATCATACCTGATTGATTTGAACAGTACCTTATCACTCTAACGGTGAGGAAAAAAAACAACTTTCACACCAACCTTTCTAACAAATGATAGAAAATGTTGCTAAAAAGGCAGAATAAGATGAAGAAATCCCACTTATCAGGCCAAAATAAATCACCTCAGCATGCCAACATGTCAATAAATGCAGACAGGATCTCTTCTTCTTTACATAGGTACTCAGAAAACAGAATATTGTCAGCAATCCTACCTATTATTTCTGTTTCAAGATATTTTCTGATACAAGACATTTTCTGATACAGCCATTCTGTTTTGCAACAGCATATGAAAATTTTAGCACTTGGCTTTATGCACTGAAATCCTTCCCCCTTTCCTTTTTGCATCATGGTCATTTACTGTGGTGTAAGCTCTGTTCTTACCCTACAAGAGCACTGCAGGTGGAGGATGCCATTTTCAGAAACGAAAGTTGTTTTTCTACAGAATATTTAAGGAGACATTATTCACCAGCCAGACTTGACAATAAACAATGAAGGCCAATTCTTTAACTTAAATTATGTTTCCATTAATAGTATCTTTCCCTTATGAGCTCTGAAGCAAGAAGAATTGTGTGGGTGTGAAAAATGACAACAAAAGGTCTGGGAAGAAGAACCATAATTCCATGTCTTGTGCTCTTCCTCAGTATAATTCAGATGATACAACAGAACACAGACGGGACTGATCAAACTAACTGTTTATTTAGCTACAGAAAAAGCAGATGTGCCCAAGTGCTCTTAAAAATTACTTTTCTTCTCCCTCCTTTCTACATATAGCACTGCATTGGCCAGTTAATCAAGCATTGTGGTATCTCTTTGTGTAAAATGCTGAAAGTTAGAGGGCATTTTCAAAGGGAAACAGAAAAAAAAAATTGTAAGGATGAACAGCAGCAGGAACAGCTGGGACACACCTGCAGGTAGAGAAGCTGGTGCTGACGGATAAGGAGATCCTCTCTGCAGGGTCCACGCTGCTTCCTTTGACTCCAAGTGCCAATCAGCCCTTGGCAGCCAATTTCTTCTCTACTCTAATTCTGGCTTTCAATCAAATGGATATTATTCCAGAAACACAGGCATCCACAGATAAGCTATCTCCCACGGGACAACTGGTGTGAGGAGCTCCACCCATGCCATCACCCATAGCTGCTACTTCTCCCTGCTGCTGTCTGGGGGAGGTGCTCAGCCCATGTGCCAGCGCCAGCACCCGTCAGTATGCACAGCCTGTGGAGGAAGGAGCAGGGAACTGTGCTTCACTGCATTGCAAAGCACATCAACATGTTTTTCTAGGGGCTGCAGAGAAATCAAACTGTAAGGAATCAAACAAGTGAACAAAACAACTAACAAAGTATGTCCTCTCTAGGTAAAAAAAGTGGCTGTTGGTCCATTGTGCATTCTCCCAGTAGCCACCTGTTAGTTACCTACAGGGATTTTCTGAAGGACCAGCAAATATGCATTGGTTAAAGACAGATTCAAATAATGCCCTCAAATATACACTTGAAGATATGAGCCTTTTACATAACTTCCTAAATTTCTTTTCAGTAGGAAATGATCTGTAACCAAACCAAAGGGGCTGGTCTAGTTCATATTTCTTGTCTTTGTTGTGACACTTGCTGATACATTTTGTACTAGATTCAAGATGATTTTCCAAAGGACAGTTAACTATCTGGCTGCTTGATGTTCATCATCTGAGGTACAAGTAAAACTAAATTTTAAAGGCAAGAGAAAGAGCACTGTCAGGAAATGCCATACTAAACCTCTTTCCCAAGTTCTATGTGTATGTGTAATCTATGCTTCCTATATTGGAAATGCTCTGCTTCTTTTACTGGCTGCATGATGAAGCAGCAAAAGGAACTGCTGCAGGTTTGCTGGTAACAGACTTTATTGACCCTTCTCTGCTTTGAGAAGTAAGCTGGGAACACTTTCAAACTGAAGAGAAAGATTTGCTTACAAATTATAGTAAAAACAACACTTTTCATCTGTAAATTTTTTGTCTTTTCTGCTTTCACCAGATTTTTTTAACATGGGCATTAAAGGATGAGGGAGTAGTAAAAGGACCCTTAGCAGGAAATCTTTAAAAAGCAATGTAACCTTAAGTAACAATGCACAACAGTGAGGTGAACCATACTTGAAAACATCCTCAGGTCACACAGGTGTGTCTGTGAATACACATGCTTATGTGCCAAAACTGGAACCTCTGAAGTGGCATTCTCCAAAGTCTACAGGCACAATCATTGTGGCTTATGCTCTTCCCCACACAGCAACAGTTATCCAAGAATAGCAAAGCCTCAGACATATGATATCCTAACATTTATAAGGCATTCCCCACAAAGCATGCTTTAGTGAAAGTCATGGGTGCTAATCAATCCTCAACTAATGAAACAAAATTCTAACTAAAGGCAGTCACACATGGCAGCTGGGAGAACATGAAGGGAGTATCCACCTTCAAAGATTAGTGTTTTGGAGAAGAGGAATGCCTATATCCAAGATTCAACAGGCAGACCAGAAGCTCCACAAAAATGGAAGAGACAGCTAGGCTCTTCTATGAAGCCATGCTGCCAATGGCTGGTTGTTGTCCTTATCTGGGAGTTTCTGTGGGCATACCTTAACAATGCAAGGGCTTAAAAAGTGCAGAAACATGGTTAAGATCAGACAAAGTGATGAGTTACATATAAATAATGTGAAGTGTAGTTGGAGGGGGAGCTTGACGAAGAGAAAAACCTGTGAAATCTGAACACACACAGAGTGTATTGGTCAGGCACCAGATGAAGGCAACAGTCACTGCCTTGAAGAACAGAAGAACTTTGCTACCACTTGGGAGCAAAGAAGTACCCTTGTTCTATAGTTTAGGGAAAGGCAGGGAGATGAACTATTTTGTATATTGCTTCAGAGAACCTAAATTTGCCTTGCCCTGAATGCAAAGTTAGCCCTTCTTTGCAAACCCTCCCCTTTTCATGTACCATCTCAGTGAGCTGCTTGCACATATTTTTTTTTTGTGGCTGGAGTGGCACAGAGCTACCCTGGTTCAGAGTCAGGCCCTTGCAAGTCCATCCATGTAACAAGTCATGCATGTTAATAATATGCTGTGCCTTCACTATCACTGAACGGACACAGGGGCTTTTCCAGGGACCATTCAGCTGCCATGATGATGCCTTGAGCAACATTTTATGCAAATGTACATAGTTCCCCATAGCTGTCAAAGGGTCAGTAGATCTAAATTTAGACTAAGCAGCTGTGTTTAGGTTTGGGGAGGTGCTTTTGGGTGTCGTGCCAAAGCTGTGCACTGTCAATGTCCTCTTCTGAGAAGAGGTCAGAGGATGAAATGGAGAGGAACCCACCCATTTCAGCACTTGGGAGGAAATACACTATGAAAATTTTATTATCTTGCCTAGTCTGAAAACAAATTGCTGAGCAGAGTCTTCTGTGCTCCCCTTACCTGACACGGGGGGAAAAAAAGCCCAGGGATATTGAATGTTCATTTTAGACTAAAGCAAATAAAATGCAGTCATCATTTTATGAGTGATAAAGTAGACATTCTCTCTGAGGACTGCGCAAAGAAGTTGATGCTGAGTTATGAAGCTTGCTTTAGGTCTGTTAACCCTGAGTGCTCAGTTATTTTTCTAGATGCTATTAAAGATTATTCTTTTTGGCTTTTAGAAATATTAGGAGAAAGTTTTGCAATCTAAACTGCTGTTTACTTGTTAAGAGTGTACTCAGCATTCCAGGAAAAGGAAATCCTAATCTACATCTTCTGGGGAAGAGGCAATATTTTTTTTACAGAAATCTCAAATAAATTCTCTGAATATGGACATACCTGCTAGCTCCTGAGGGGAAAAATGTCAGGACAATATAAATTCCTTCTTTCTGTGTATCACAGGTAATGCTTTGCTACAGGGACCTGTATTCCCTTTCTGGCAATAACTCCGCTACGCTGAAATGGCAAGAAACCCCAAACGATGCTGGCAGACTCTCAAGCACTTAGAGATCTGGATTATTCTGAAAGTCTACAAACTCAGTTTAGTACAAATTTTTAAGAGACTTCCTGTCTTTCCTCACTTCTTGACCATTTTTTATGCTTGCAGTTTTCTTGCTTTTACCTCAGGAAAAAGAAGCACACCTTCCCTTTCCTGAACAGAATCCATCCTTAACCATATTGGTGCTATGATAAGTCATCCCTGACACTGGATGCCTCTTCTGTAAAGTTGAATACTGTTTTCTTGGGTCTTTGAGTGCAGTGCTAAGAGAAAAACCTAGATTTCACTAGCTTTCTGAAAAAGCTGAAGGAGACAATATTTTAAAAAGATCCATTTCTCAGAAAGATGTGG